TGTGTGTGTGTGTGTGTGTGTGTGTGTGTGTGGTAGAAGTATCGTTTCTTGTACTCTGTATCAGCAAGTATCGGTATTGTATCGGTTTGAAAAAATTGGTATCGTTGCATCCCTAATTATTACTATATGATGATGGAGTCTGTGACGAGTGGTTTCTCCTGCAGCTGTGGAGGAGCAGATCTCCATCAGCGAGGAGGAGGAGGATGATGCGGTTCCTTCACAGCAGGTGGAGGAAGACGAGGCTCTGGCCCGAAGGCTGCAGGCGGAGGACGACTCGGTGATCGGTACGTGTCAGTGTTGGGGGCGGACCTTGAGAACGATGGGGAACGTCGGGATTGAAACATGATTGGCCTGGTGGTGGTTCCAGCCTCCTGCTGAACCTTCAGCGTTCTTCTGATGCTTTGTTCTGCAGCCGCGGTGGAGCAGCTCGCCGTCAGCGACGAAGAGGAGGGGGCCACTGGTTTACAGCAGGTGGAGGATCACGAGGCGCTGCACCGACACCTGCAGGTGGAGGCAGACTTGCACCAAACGCCTCACCTGAGGCAGAGCGGACAGGTGTTCACGTTTCTGTTTGTTCCTCCAGGCTCGAGTGGAGCACAGCAGACACCGTCACCACCTCCATCATCACCGCCTCCACCAGCTTCCTCTTCATCGCCTCCACAGGGTGAGGCAGCCAATCACAGCCTGATCGTGGTTTTAATATTATCAAAAGTGGTGCTGCGTTCAGGAAGCGTGCGACGTCTTGCTTTGATTCGCTGACCGAGCCGTGACCTTCTCTCTGCAGGGTCGTCCCACAGAGCGCCGCTGGATGATTCAGGTGGCTCCCGGAGAAGGTGAGCACCAAACACCAAGTACTACAGAGATGTGGTATAAATACATGCAGTACTTCAGTCCAATCAGGTCTTCGGAGTATTTGTAGTTTTTCTACTCGCTCCTGTTAAAGTAAAGATTTTTTCTCTCTATAAAAACTGAACAAACACAAGCTGCTCAAACCTGACTGACCAATCAAACGACAGCGTAGAAACCTGACCAATCAAACGACAGCATGACACTGTTGTAGAGCTTTAATCGGTCTGCTTCTGCTGATC